TCTCTCACACACACACACACACACACTCACACTCACTCACACTCACACACACACTCACACACTAAATGATATGTATAGTTATTGATTAATGTATAATTAATTTTTTTTAAATAATATTTTTATTTTTGTGTTAATTTTTATTGAAATGTGACCTGCAGCGGTTCATGACATTCCCGGTTCACGTTTCTGAATCTTCCAGGAATCAACAGAAATGTATGTTTTTTAATGTATTTATTTCTCTCCCAGGATTCAAGCGGGGAGCCGATCCGGGGATGCCTGAACCCACAGTCCTCAGGTGAGTTTTGTGAAGATCACGGTGTTTTAGCACAGAAAGCTGCTGGAGATGAGCATGGGATGATCTGTTTTGTCTGTCAGTTTGCTTTGGGGATGAAGACGCTCCTGACGGAAACTACAGACTCCATGAAGACTCGTCGCTCGCTCGGATCTGAACTCAGTGCTGGGATGTAAATACTTCACTGTCAACGCTTTTGTGTTATTTTAAGACTTTTGCTTCCTCTTTCTGAAACATTGCGTTGAGAAAAAAACACAAAACGTTTTCTTTGTTTTTTTTTTATTGAATCTACGAAGATCATTGTAAGCAATCAGCATGTTCTCACGTTCTGTTTTAAACAAGTTCATAAATACATTAATCGGCACTGATTTTCAGTGTCGTGCAAATGAGAAGTAAATAGAAAATACTGGCACATAAATAATTGCATTTATAAATATCAATGTTGCACAACATTCAATAAGTTAAAAGTACAGACTCATAAATATTAAATTATTCTGCCCTGAATGAAATATCTGCGATGGTCAATAAATAAAAATAATAGTTGAATAAACTAGTTCTTGTCGGAGCTCCAGTCTGCGGGTCTCTTCGTGTCTTTTGCTCGGTGTGCAGCTTTGCGTTTGATGTAATGGACTGCTCTGCACGTGTCGATCATCACGCTGGTGAAGTTGAACAGGATCGAATGTGTCGTGGTCTTGCGCATCCACGTGGATCTGACCGATAGAGGAGCGCTGGAGATCTGATCCACCCCTCCGTCTGCTATCTGCAGCTGCAGGACCAAACAAACACCAGATGTGCTCATATGTGACACTGCTCATGAACAACTGATAATGAGCTCAGATCGGCAGGTTTTGTTGCTCTGAAATGCTGAGAAGGCTTTATTTGGCCTGTTTGATGGCTGCCTATCACTAGTCGTTAAGCCTGGGTTTCCATGACTGGGATACTCCATAATCTACATGGTTTTTTTTTTAGGTAATAGGTAACCATCTATTTATCAGTGAATGAATGAGCTTTGTTTGTTTCGACTAAGCTTCAACATGCAAAAAAGTGGTTAAAATAAAGTCTCATTCGTTAATGCAATAGCTAACATCAAAATATCAAAAATACAGTAATGTATAAGTCATCTAATAATAATAATAATGTAATTTAATAATATACATTATAATATACATAAATGTTGTTTTATTATTTTATAAAAATTTAATAATATAATCATAATTTAATCTTTTTTTATTTTATTAGTTATTTTCATAATGTTTTATATTAATATAGCTACTTATATCTTTTTTTATTTTAATATTTTAACTCTAAACTGTTAGCAGATATTTTAATGTTTATGCTCTTGAAATGAAATGCCTCCGCAACTCCGAATAAATCAAATAGGCAGGTGCATATAAATAAACAAAGAAAAGCAAACAATCTGTCAAAAAATGCAACGTTTGTGCTCTTAAACCTACGCTTTTATCAGTCAATTTACAGATTGGTGGCTTTGTGAGGTCAGCTGGAGCGCCGTGGAGCCGTTGAGGTGTGTTTACCTGGCTGTTAATTGCCTCCAGCAGGCGCTTGGTCCCGCATTTGATGTCCTTCACCAGGCTGGAGGTCAGGTTTTCGTTCTCGATCAAGCTCCAGTTCTCTTTATACCAGGTCAGGACGCTGTAAATGCGGCTCAGACACAAATCCTGAAACATTCGTGAGGTATGAGCGTTTAGCAACACTTCAGTATTTGACGAAATCAAATGAAAACGTTCATCCCATCATGTGCTGGATAAAAGCTCTTGTTCAGCGCTAAACTGCGTTACGTTTGTGTAATGGTAACAACCCGATATCAAACGTACAGTATCTATTTTATGAGTTGAAGGGTTTGTATGAATTGGTTCGATGTGATTCGTAAGAAACTGTCGTTAGTGGGGCGTCAGCATGAAAAAATACTATAGTGTTTTTGAACCATACTATAGTAAAGTACTTGTGGTAATTCTGTAGTTGCTGTGGTAATATAACAACTAGGGCTGTCAAAAAAAATTCGAATTTTGAATATTCGCTGAATTTAAAATAAAAATCCACATTCGAATGCAAAAACGTTGCATTCTAATTTTAGTTGTGCATCAGGATGCTTTATCAGTGGCGCACGAGACGCGATGACGATGTAAGTTTCATTGCATTTTAATGCTTTTCATAGCTTATCCAGTTGACGCCACTAGATGCGACGCTGCTGCTGCGTTGTTAATTACAAATATTGCGGGACAAGAGAACATCAATGCGGAGAAGATGTTGTTTATGTCAAAACGGAAACCAAGCCGTTCACACAGAATGCATGTTTCACACATTTTCTAGAGGGACATCTATCACCGTTGCACTCGCGTCTCGCACAAAGAGCCGTATGTTTAGAAAGCCATGTAAAATTAATGCAAGTTTAACTTTGAAAAAACATGTCTCGGGACTTTATGGCGGGGTTTTTTCCCAATCCCACTGCATCTCATGTTTTGAACTGAAAAATGTACTCTGTGTGATTGGCTTTCGGCCTTTGTATTAAACTATGCATACATACATGATGCTGTTTTGTTTATAGTTGTTTAAGCAACTTCATTATAATCGGTTTATAAACATTATTTTAAACATTATGCACTTTTTTTCACAGATAGTCACGTTGTCTTATGCTTTGAATAAACGTGCATTAGTAATATTTTGCTCGATGCGCCCTCTTGTGGCCTCAGAAGAGAAGCCAAACGCTTTTCTTCACCCTAACTGAAATTAGGCATTTTAAATTCGAATATAATTCGAATTTTGATAATATTTATGTAAAAAATTCGAATTTCGTTTTTTTTAGCCATTTTGACAGCCTAATAACAACTATAGTAATATAAACAAATTACTGTACTAAGTTTTCTACAACAATACAGTTTACTGAATTTATTACAGTTTATCAGTTCACTAGTTAATACTACAGTATGCTGTAGTGTTCATTACACACTTTACTATAGTATGGTTCAAAAACACTATAGTATTTACTATAAATTAGTTTGTGGGTGGATTGTATGAATGAGATTGTACACATTCATACAAATAAACAGTTTTATTGTGTGGTTTATTAACGTAAAGCTGCTTTGAATCAATCTGTATTGTATTAAGCGCGATATAAATGAAACCGATTCGACAAATTAGCCACCAATTTGCCAAAACTTAAAATAGTTATGAATTGGCATGAAAGTGTGTCAAAGGCTAATGACTTTTTTTTGGAGGGAAAGTTAAAGTATTCGCTAATACAGCAGGTTAACTTAGAATAGCACTAAATCGATTGTTTATGGATTAAAATTGATTTGTTAATGACCTAATAAAGCTTCTCAAATCATGAAAATCTATTCTGGAAAAGATGTACTTCACTACTTATTTACAAATATAAACGTTTTGGAAAAACTCTTTTCTATTAAAATGCTTTGCTTGATTGTATAATGATAATAATAAAAAATATTACAAATGCAGTAAAGTTTGCATAGAGTAGCAGCCAAACATTTCGACACATCTACTCATTTATTTTAATAATGCAGTTATTATGTTTATTATTATTACATTTATTATATTGATTGATCGATTGATTATTACAGTAATAATAATCGTTATCTGAACTATGATGAGTATGGAAATTATATAGTGACTAAAAAAGACATATTCTGGCAAATGTGAATTTTCAATCTTACTCAAAATTCAGAAAAATGTTTTTACAGTATTAAAATAAAATTAAGTTCTCATTTGTTAATGCATTAATTAACATGAACTAAACATTTTCAAAATACAGTAATATAAATAAAAAACATAAAAATCAAATAAACTAATAATGGAATGTAATAATAGAAATATGAAAAATATATAAAATATAATGTAATAATAATGTAATTTAACATATATATAAATAACAATAAAATATAGTTTATAATGTATTTTTACATTAACCTTTGTTGATGTTTATAAAATGTTTAAAACATTTTTTTGTAAATTTTCAAAATATAATAATATAAATAAAAAACAAAAATAAAATAAACTAATAATATAATGTAATAGAAATATCAAAAATATAAAATATATGATAAAATAGAAATAATGTAATAATAATGTAATTTAACATAAATATAAATAACAATAAAAATATAGTTTGTAATGTAGTTTTACATCATTAAACTGTTGATGTTTATAAAATGTTAAAAAAATTGTTGTAAATTTTCAAAATATAATAATATATATAAAAAACATAAATAAAATAAACTAATAATATAATGTAATAATAGAAATATCAGAAATATAAAAATTATTATAAAATATAAGTAATGTAATAATAATGTAATTTAACATAAATATCAAGTATATAAATAATAAAAATATAGTTTATAATGTATTTTTACATCATTAACCTTTGTTGATGTTTATAAAATGTTAACAAACAAATTTACTTTGTTCATGTTAAGTTCATAATGCATTAGAAAATGTTCAAAAGTATTTACAGGGACAATAAAAATGTTTCAAAATTTGAATAAACTAGTTTAAAATCAGCTTGGGGCACAGAGGCATTCTTTTTATTGAACACAGAGCCATGAATCAACCCTAAGCGCAGTCATTTGAGAGGAAGTGTGTTCTTACTGCGCTGAAGTTTCTGGACAGACAGCCGTCGGAGGGTCTGAGGAGAGGAGTTGTGATCCTCACGCCTTCATACGCCGTCATGTTCATCGTCTCTCTGAAGTCCCTCTCAAACTGCAGACGGAGGAGCTCAAAGTTAGTTTGAGTAACACGAAGCATCTTTGCATTGGTGTGTGTTGAGACGCACCTGCTGGTCTCGCAGCGTCTTGACGTCTCTGTGCAGATCTCTGGCCATCAGATACCATTTCTGCCGCTCGCTCAGAGGACTCTTTCCCTCCACGTCCTGAACCTCGTCTCCAGATGTTTCGGAGCGTTCGGCCAGACCGCTGTACGCAGGCACCGCATCCACCAGACTGAGGAACGCTGCCAGTACAGCAGACAAGAAGAGCGCTGCGTCTGCAGAGAAAGTGAGAGAGAGAGAGAAAGTGAAGAGCTGCGTCTGCTCACGAGATCCGTCCGATCGCTCAAACGCTGCACTCACTCTGGGCTGACGGCATCCTGATTGCACAAGTTTGTGTGTGATGTCTTCAAGAAACCTCGGGAGACTTCTGAACCGCGCTTCTCAAGTGGTTTTATACACACACTCGAGGAGTTTCCACATCTCTCAACCCGCCTTTCAAACATTTTTCATCATTTAGGAAAACCGCCCTGATTCTGATTTTCATAAAATAATTTTTCTTTACTTTTCCCCCTCAAGACTCAGGATGCCACAAGTTGATTTAGGTTTTGATACTCTTATTGTTTGACTGATTTCATTTATTTTTCTGAAAGTTTACACACACACACACACACACACACATATATATATATATTGGTCAAAGACGAAAAAGGGTTTAAGCATAAAACAATAAGTGTAATACTGCATTAAATTGTTGTTGTTTTCCCCCAAAAAAATTTAAAAAATTTCTGTTTAATTTAATTGCAATTTTGTTTTTGTTTTTCTGAGCACAAAAAAAAAACATTCATACATTTTTCCCTGATTTACAGAAGAGACCCACTAAAATGCCATTCAGTGTAACAATCTTCTCAGGCATATTTACAACCAAAATCAATATATGACATATTAAAAAACGAATTACTTTCACCCCAAATACTAATTAGTTGTAATTTTACTTTTTTTAAATGTGCCACTATCCTAGGTTTTGCCCATTTGTAATAACAAAAAAAATACAGCTAACTAACACAATAAAACAATAAAAACAACACAATAAAAAACATGATTTATGAAAATTAATAACGTTTTTGCAAATAAACTCTTTATATATATATATATATATATATATATATATACGTACACGCTCACAGTGGAGATCAAAATTAGAGAATTTAAATTTAGAATCAATCTATAAATACTTGATTTTTTCTGAAATATTGTTCATCTTCATCGCTCAAAACTTCGAAGGAATATTAGCTGTAGGGTATACCACTGTCACATGTTTGACAAAACCAAGGCATTGCAACAAAACCCTTTATTTAGTGGAAACACGGTAATCAAAATGAGAGAACAGTAGCCACTGTAGCACAGAAGAAGATTACAGCTCAAATCCTGGAGGGGTACATGATGATCCGGTAAATGGTTCTTTCAGGTGCAATATTTAGATGCGAAGAGATGATGACTGCAAGTGTTTCTTTGGAGGTAAGCATTGCTAACAAGAACACAATGACTGGAAACGCTTCTTCCCTCCTTCTATAGCAATCAATCTGCTCTTACGATCTAATTAGTGTGATAGTGATTAACCTGACTAGTATAGTTGCAATTTTACATTTTTAAAATGTGCCACTATCCTAGGTTTTGCCCATTGGTCAGTAGACTTTTTTACTCATTTAAAACACAATAAAATTGAATATGCTCCCTTATTCTTTTATATATTTTAATATTTACACGTCCGAATAAGCATGTTGTTTGAATATTTACATAAATATTGTGTTACACTGAATGACAATGAATGACATTATTTCAACCAAATTTTGACATTTTATTCTCCAAAAACTTATTTGAAACCTTAAAAGTAGACACTTTACTTGCATTTAATGTGCTTTCTGTTTTAAAATGCATCTGATCACTCTACACAATAATCTAGAAACAATGTGAATGAACACCACAACAGCTAAAGCTGCAAACTTTGCAAAACACAAAATTTATGTCACTGCCAAATCTTTTGGCCGTGACTGTACACACAGGTGCATCTAAAAAAATTAGAATGTTGTGAAAAGGTTCTTTTTTTGGTAACTTGTTTCAAAAAGTGAAACTTTTCTATATTCTAGATTCATTACATATATTTTGAGATACTAGATTTTTGACTTTCGTGAGCTGTAAGGCTCTAATCGTCGAAATTAAAACAAAAAACTGTTTTACTTTACGTGTAATGAATCTAGAATATATGAACGTTTCACTTTTTGAAATGTTACAAAAAAAATTACTTTTTCACGATATTCTAATTTTTTGAGATGCACCTGTATATATATATATATACTGATAAATGACAAGCAAATTACTAAAATTTTAATTTAAAAATATAAAAATAAAAGGTAATTCAAAATATTAAGTTCTATAATAGCAAATAAATTATGCTATGCTCTATGAAATGTATCCATAAGTTCAAGCAAATATACATTAAAGATGACTAGGTTACCTGAGTGTAAGGTGCGTCAGGGTTGAAGTCATCTATCCTTTGCATCGTGTTAATGTCCATATTCCCAAGAGCCATTTCCAGCCCTTTCTCATCTCCTACATTACTGCATTTAATCAGTTAAGTTACATTTTCAATCAGACAGAGCTTTGCAACACAAACAGACATTTACAAAAAGGCTCAACTTTAAAAACAGCTTCTGCATCTATCATGCCAAGACAATTTATTGATTAATTTTAATTAAGTATACATGTAGCATGAGCAGTTGTTTTTGATTTGAATTCGATTTTATAATTTCAAGATTTAAAGCAAAAACAGAATGTTCTGACTTTAGATTTGTGAAATTATGCTACATAAGACACCTGCACAAAACCAATACAGCAGACGGACTGAATGAAAATGCAGATTTATTCTCTGACAGCAGGTGGCGCTTCTGGAACAGCAGCGATACAGCGTTTCCTTGGTTATCCTTGGTTATCGCTCTAAACAAAGCAGCTGTGCTTATAAACACTACTTTAATATGCGTTATATGGTGGTAAGATGAAAAGAAAATGCCATTGAAACATTTCTGAAGACGGTCAGTTCCTCTCAGAGATACATTCATATAAACCCCCACATATTTGTCTTCCTATATTTTGAGCATCGCGAACAGTGAGCTTGATCTGCCTGATACAGTGTTTTCTCCTCTTTACAGACCTCATCAAAATGATTGCAAAATGCAGTTTGTGTGCAATTCTGGAATAGAGATCAGCCAAAATAAAACTAAAAACCGGTTCCGATTTATAGCCGGCATGCCATCTGAACTCACCGTGACGGTTCGGGACGAGTAATTGTAATTGTACAAGTTACTGTATATAGTGACTTGTAATATACATTAACTTGCTGTTTATTGACACTGATGTAAGCAGGATTTTTTAAATGCACTTTTTGTTAAAAAAAAAATACAAGTCACTATAAACAAAAATAGACCTTCCACAGCATGTCTTCATTTAATATGTCATCAGTTATTAAATTATGCATTACAGGCTTTGGCAAACCATAAAGTGACTATAACAAATAAAGTTTTGGATGATAGAAATCAAAGAACTTATTTAATTATGATTAAATATATTAATATTAATTACTATATTTAAGACTTTTGAACAAATGCACTGAGAATAAAATTTGACTTTAAAAGTTACTGAGGTATTGACCTTGTGACAACTTGCCCCAGGCATTGTTTATATCTTGTTAATAATCTCCAAGTGCAACTCTGATGGTTTTCAAAGAGAAACCGTCATTTCTAAACCCATAAAGTTGCGGCTGTATGCATGATATACTATATTGCACTAAGTTTCTCATTTATATCATCCAGCATGAGTTAAATATCACATCTTTGAAAGATTTTTCATAACGTATCTTGCAAACTGCTGCAAATATGGTTTCAGTTTCTAACGGTTTCTTTTATTGTAATTCTAAGAAAGGAAGCATCCATGCATGAGCTTTACAAATAAAAGAAATGAAAGTAATGTGTAAAAAGTCATGTCTCCGTCATTTCCTTCTCCTTTTTAATTTCCGCTTTCTCGAAGTGATCTCATTCCGTAATATATCTGCTTTGATTGGAGTCGTTACGGACCTCAGTGAAGACCGCAGGCCTCTGGTTAATATGCATATTGATTGTGATTTTTGCAACAGAGGATTCCCCTTCAGGAGGGGAAATATGTATGCGTGAAGCTGAGGAGATGTTATAATGGAGTGTGAGTGATATTATTTTGAGCAATTGTGGAAGTTTCCAGGTTTTGCTTCGGCCAAAAGGGACAAAAACAATGCCCTAGTTTTATTAAATAAAATTATTACTGGGTCTGTGGGTTTTTGTTGAGTCTTGAATATTTGCCTGAATATATAAATTATATTTATAATTTAGGTTTTAGTAATTTCTTTGTCATTTTTATTAAGTTTTTCTATATAGTTTTATTTTTATTTCAGATTTATTACTTCATTTAATTTATTTTGGTACTTAAACTTATTTAATTTAGTTTCAGTTTAGTTGTGAAGGTAACATTTTAGTTTTTAATTCGTTTTTACTTTTACATTTTTCATCTAATTTGTATTAATTGTTACAGTATTTTTTAACTGTTTTAGCTAACAATAACGCTGCTCTTTAATTTTTAATTTTTTTTATATAAATTTTTTCTGTGTCATTATTATTAATAGAAGGCGACATATGAAGTATAGTTTGGACTTAAATTTTAAGTTTATAATTTTTAGATCAAAACCATTTTCATTGTATAAGAGGAGTGAAAAGTCCATTTTTATGAGCAGATTTTAATTTTCATGAATGCATTTTTATCTTTTTACTTTTTCCCCCTCTTAAAACTCAGTGAAAATGATTGATACAAGCCTTAGGTTGACACTTTTATTGATTTTTTTTGTTGTTGTTTTTATTAGATTTTAATTTTTTCATAGATGCCTATGTACAGTAGGGCATGTTGTCACAATGGTAACTTGCTGTTTATTTTCACTGACGTAAGAAGAATATTTGAACTGCACATTTAAAAAAATATGATTAATTTTACTATTAATTCATTAGCTAATATTCCTTGTACATGCATCTCAACTTGATTCAGTGCACAGCTTTTTCAAGTACAGCACACTTACTACTATATATGCAAACTAGTTACTGTTAATTGCTACCAATTCCTGTACAATAAGGTTGCATTCTAACAATGCCTATACTTTGCCATTCTGCTGTTTATTTCCAAGCTGCAGTGGGTGGTGATAGACGAGAAATGACAGTTTTGTAGCATTTCTTCTGCCATTTCATGGTTAATTTCTACAGCATGAAGCTCTGAGGTGAAGCAGCCCACAGCAGAAACCATGTTCGAGGTGTGATCTGTGACTTTGAAGAGATAACAGGCAGTTCTTTGCTGTTATTCCATGAAAATTGGGTCATTAACGGATAAAGTGGTGAAAGTGTTTCCTTTTTCTGAGAAGTCCTATCAGTATATCATAAATCTTTCTCATGACCTTGTATTTTGCACCCAGTTACCAGAGTGCTAGATCTGAATGTTAATCTAATTTATATAATAATTCGGAACAGATCTATAGATGTAGTGGTTTTGGTCTTTCACTATTTTTCAAGTTCTGTTAAATATACCAGCTTATTGTGAACTTTTTTTAGTGCTGGTTTGTTGCCATTCACCAGTATAACCAAACTGGTTTACCAAGTTGGTTTTTGTGGTGAAGTTAATGGAGCAGAAGGTTTTGCTGGTTTAGATAAAGTCTTAATGGTTTAGAGGTTTGGAAAGGCCGGTTGTCTGCAGTTTAAAATACTAACATCTAAAACACAACATACACTGGTCTTTTGACCAGCGAGGAATGGAATAAGGAAGGAATGAGTAAAACCTGTTTATTAGGTTTATTTTACTCCTGTCGGAGTCAGCACATGTTGTGAGGTCGAGCTTAAACAAAAAATTTTCACAGAAATATGTTGTAGTGAAACTACAGATGTGCAGATATAGATATTTTCACATTTATGCTAAGGCCCTTTTCCACAGAATTGAAGTGTGATTGTGTGGGTGTTTTTAGCTTTTTGGTTTCCGAAACTGTTTTTTTTTTTTTTTTCTGCCGATCACAGTCAACACCAAATGTAACTGAAGTCAAGAGTGCAATGCAACCGCCGCATACAGTACTGTTGAAAAAAGTGAATCAGACCTCAATGCTCCAAAAATAGATTCTTACGCTTTTGAACTGAGCAACTTTAGATTTTCCGGCTTGAGCAAACACCGGCATCCTCGCGCAAAAATTGATCCATGACTAGTCACAGAAATGTGGTTCATGCCAAAGAGCCTGTGGTACATGTATGTAGGAACAGGCCCAAGCTTAAAGGGGTCATATGATGCTGCTAAAAAGAACATTATTTTGTGTATTTGGTGTAATGAAATGTTTATGCGGTTTAAGGTTAAAAAAACACATTATTTTCCACATACTGTACATTATTGTTTCTCCTCTATGCCCCGCCTTTCTGAAACGTGTCGATTTTTACAAAGCTCATCGGTCTGAAAAGCGAGGTGTGCTGTGATTGGCCAGCTATCCAGTGCGTTGTGATTGGCCGACTCCGCTTCGTCCACGGTGAAAGCCGATCCGGCGATCGGCTTTCACCGTGTATGACGAAGCAGATATCGTCCTCTTTTGGAAGACCAAACAAAGTAGTTTCGCTTTTACGACGAAACACACAGCGCCTTCATGACATGGCGGCGGCGGCAGCAACAATACTACAGCGAGAATAAAAGTTACGACTTCTTTCTTTGCGTGAACATTTGGGCGGCGTTATGCAAATCTTCCCACATAGTGATGTAGACATGTGGGGGCGTGTTAGAACGAGCCGTTTTAGGTAGGCGTGGCTGACTCTTAACTTTTATAAAGAATATCTCTTTGGATTTGAGACTTTAGTCTTTGCAACTTTACAGATCTTTATGCACCAAGAGCTTGTAACACTCCAAAGAGAAAGGAAAAATTGAAATCGCATCATATGACCCCTTTAAGCCAAAATGTGAGAGTTTTGCTGAGCTAAGCATTTTCTCCAGCGATTGCCACAGAGAAATCTCTCGCGTCACTCTCTCACTGTGCACACGTGCATGAAATGATGATTTGCAGATGTGAATTGCAGCATGCATCTTCAAGACAACAGGGTAGAAGAAATAGTTGGACTCACGATGTTCTGCATTATGAAGGAACGGCTAGGCAGGATGCAAGATTACATGCTTGATGAATCAGACATGTGTAGTACTTATATAGCAAGTTGTTAGCAACATACACTGTAAAAAAAAAAAAAAAAGGAAAGTGTACTGATCATTTCCTGTCAAGACGCATTACAGATATTTCCCTTAGCTCTTAAACACAATGCAATGCAAAATAAAAATCAATACGGAAAATTCCTTTATATTAATACAGTTAATTGTGCCCTATGTTTATGATTTACATTTAAACAAAATTGTTTCTTCAAAATGCACATTTGCAGTTTAAATGTTTAATGTTTAATTTGTTGTTGTAGAACAAAATGTGAAGGTTTCTTTTCCTTGTACGTATAATAACGAAACCCATTAGAAATTGGTTAAAAATTTTTAAAGTTGAAAATAGTTGAGGGAACCAGCGGTTAAAGTTTGGCCAACAAATTGACTACATGCTCTGTTATAACGTTCACGAATGTATTAAAACGTTTAATTTTACATCTTTCTTAAGGAACGTTTCATTGCATGTTTTGAATAACGAGTAACCATTGAAGTCAGACAGAAAGAGCTCGTATTTTTTCATAGTTCCAGAAAAGAATTCGCGAGCAGCCGAGGTGGTAACCATAGCAACAGCAGATCAACCGTTGAGCGCCTGCCGTTGGGATCAGCATCTGCCAGGTAGCTACATCACAAAACATAAGTCATTATTTATAATTTTAACAGGTAATTCTGAGAAATGTAATACTTTTTTAACTTAAAACTTATTTAAGATGACTTGAAGAGTATATTTAAGTTAATTTGGGCGCGAAAAGACAATTTGGACGAACCTCCACCGATTGCGCCACGACAATTAGCATAAAAAGTCGATGAATACATTAACTTAGCGAGTCAGATCGCTAGTCTTGAAGGTCTGGACAAGACCAGCGTTGGGAAAAAACACAATTTTTGCCAAATTTTTGCCAAATCTTTATGCCAAGTTTAGGGAGATTTTCTGGTTTTGGTGGTTTCCCCTCAAATCCATCCACAGAGAAGATTTGGAGGACTCTCCCTTTCTGAAACAGCTGCCGGGTAACTGACTTTCAAATTAAGTTTACCACAATAACCCTCTTTCTTTCTTTGTCACGTGACTGTACAATTATATGTATAAGTATAACGTGAATTAAGTTTTTAATTATAAAAGTTTCGGTGTGCCATTTTTTCACACAGAATAGGATCCTCTGTTTGTTTGAACAGGACTTTACAAAAGTTCTGTAAAGCAAACACAAGATGGCAGTGAAATACTTATTTCCAGTAATGCCCAGTTTAGTTTACATGTTTTAAACACAGTTAATACTTATTATAGCCTAATGTTTAAAGTAAGGCATGACAGTGATTTTACCTTTTGTTGGTCCTGGAACAATATTCTTGTCAAAAATAGTAACTTCAAAGGAACAGTTCACCCAAAAATGAAAACAAACAGTTGATGGTAACCATTGACTTCCATAATATGGGGGAAAAAATACTATGGATACCAGCAACTGTTTGGTTACCAACATTCTTCAAAATATCTTTGTGTTGAACAGAAGAAAGAAACTCACAGTTTGGAACAGCCTGAGGGTGAGTAAATGCTGATAAAATTGTCATTTTTGGGTGAACTATCCCTTTAAACCAGATAAATCGGCTTGAAGCCTAACTCTAAAATCTGACTGGTTGATAGCAATGTTTCACCAACACTGATGCTGTTCACGCAGGAACGTTTCCTTGGGTTGGTACCAAGCCGCCTCTCCTCTCTTTTTTGGAGGTTGTGTTCTGTTAGAGAGCCATGGGTGTTGTTCAATATTTAATCAAGGGTGTGTTTGAAGATCTGTCTGTGTGGGAGAGCAGTAACTGGAGAGGAGAAGGTTTAAGATGAAAGACTTTCTTCACTCTCTTTTCTCACTTTCACATGCAGGCGCTCTTCTGTGGACTCAGCATCAGACGGGACGCCCGCTGACCGTCTGATGCATGCTTCACCTGAAACACCAGCACTTTCTCAATCTAGAAAGCTCTAATGTGATTGGCTGACTTTACGCAGCTTCCAAGAAAGCTCACAGGGTTTTTCTCCAGTCTGTTTGGAAAAGTTGTGTTTACTGAGGATGAAATCTTTCACGAATGAAATCATTGCTGGGATTTACCAGTTTGCGAGGTTGACATCAAATCTTTGAAAGATATTCCACGTTTTGTTTTTAAGCATTGGCAACTTAACTAGATACAGATCTGTGTGTGTGTGTGAGAGAGAGTGTGTGTGTGTGTGTATATGATTCTAATATGATACATATGTAATATTACAGTTACAGTTTTGTTAAATGTCACTTTTTTATTATAAATATTTATTTACAATAAGATACATTTTAACTGTAAAAGGACATGTCATATTAGAATTATATATGTGTATATATATATATATATATATATATACATACATAAAATGGAAAAGATAAATCTGTATGATAAATATAGTGCACATTTTTATTATAAATAATTTAACTTTGAAAAAACAAGTTTTATAGTAAAAGTTACGTATTATATTAAACAATATTATAATTTTTCATCATAAATAGGCAGTTAACATAATGTGTTCACTGTCTTCATGAAATATATTTTTTAATATTTAAAAATAAGTGCATTCAGAATTTCCTGAAGAAAAATAATGCAATTCGTTATGCAATTTCAAGAGTAATATTAGAAAATAACATTCTCCAGTGCTGAATATTTTCTTAAACTAATGATTGAATCACATATGTGTTTTCTTTAATTGATGATTGTTTTGTTAAAATCAAATAAAACAATATCTGGAATATCATAGACAAAGACGAAATGATGGATTAAATATATTCTACACATTAAAATAGACGTTTCCTTATTCAAGTATGAAATGTTAACTTAATGTTCTTTTCCAGGTCTGTTTGTCAGCTCGTATGGTAAGGTAACTTACAGTTAGTTAACCGTTAGTTAACAGGTTTTACTTCAGCATTAGTTTACTGTGGTGGTTTACAGCGTGGTTTCTGAACACATTAAACAGACCTGCGGCGTCACACACTTCACAGAGCTCTGAGCTGCTGTCTTCAGATCACATGACATCCGCGCTGAGAGGAAATGACTGGTGTGTAAATACTTCAACGCAGGGATTAACTGAAAATTCAGTGTTTTTAATCATGATAAGCCTTTCTAAGAGTAGACTCAGTGTTTGAACACAGCAGAACATCACAACAGACACAGAAAAACACACAAAGGGACACTGATAACTTTCACAAATATGTTCTTCATGAAATATGTCTGTGTACCGCAAACAACACCAAACAGAATTGCAAAAATATATAATTGTTTCCCAAAGAATCCTAATGGGATCAAATAAAAATCCTCTAAAATTATTCTATGATAAGATATATGTTATATAAATACAATATAGGTATATTTAGATTTTTTCTCTCTCGCATATTTAATATAATGAAGCAATATTTTAATATAAACAATATGATAACCTATATTTTAATATATTAAAACATATTTTAATGACAAAGTTTTAGTATTTTTGTCTCGTGATTTTTTTTTTTATTATAGTTTTTATATTTTAATTTTTCCTTTTAATGATAGTTTTATTATATTTTGGGTTCTGTCGTGTTTTATTAGTTTCTATTTTTATATTTTCATTTTAATGATACAGTTTTAGTATTTTTTTATATTGTCATTTTATTATAGTATTTATTTGTATATTTTCAGTTTTTATTTTATTGATAAAGTTTTAGTAATTTTTTGTTCTGTCATTTTTTTATTATAGTCTTTAGTTATAAATTTTCAGTTTTTATTTTAATTATAAAGTTGTAGTAATTTTTTGTTTTATTTTTTATTATAATTTTCATTTTTATATTTTCAGATTTTATTTTAATAAGTTTGTCATTTTTCTAGTTTTCGTTTTTTTTTTTTTTCATTTCTAATAATATAGTTTCAGTCATTTTTTGTTTTGTCTTTTTGTTGTAGTTTTTATATATTTTTAGTTTTTACTTTAATAATTAAGTTTTAGTAATTTTGCTTTGTAATTTATAT